GGGCGGGCGGGCGGGCACATGTGTGCGATACACACACACACACACACACTCACACACACGAGCACGCGGTGTGTGTGTGTGTGCAGGCACACAACCACACACCGCGTGCGTGCGTGTGTGTGTGTGTGTGGTGTGTGTGTGCGTGCCGGCATGTGCAATCACTGCGGTCGGGATCAAAGGCAGGGCGTCTTTGCATTCGCCCTGTCCCACTTTGCGGTGCTGTCTGCGGGGGCAGGCCTGGCGAGCATTTGTGCCCACCGCCCTCCCTGAGGCGCAGTCACAATCCAAACAGCCACGCCGCTGCTCCCTGCCTCGTCCTGCAAGCGCCCCGATCCGCCCTCCCCTCCCTCGCCTTTCATCATCAACCCCGACCCAGGCGACCTCGATCGCCTGCTCTCAGACACCGCCGTCGCCGCCTCGGCCGTGGCCCCCGTGCCCCGCCCCTCCGGCCCCGCCGGCGGCCGCGCCGCGGCCGGGGAGACGCGGGCGCACTTGGAGGGGCTGATGGCGAGCGCGGTGGTGCTGGGGCAGCCGCGGGCGTACGAGCGGTGGCTCATGGCCTATGTGGAGTTCCTGGCCGCGTACCCAGATGAACAGGTGGGGGCGGTCGGGGGCCGGTTGGGGGGGTCTTAGGGGAGGCGAGAGGGTGGTTGGAGGGCGGACGAGGCGGCGATTGGAGGGTGGGCGAGGAAAAGCATATTGTTTCGTGTATGTTGTTTGTGGACAAGCAACATTCAAACATTTGAGGTTGGCCAGGGCCGGCTGGCGGGGGTCCGAGGGGTTGGACGGGCTGGTCTTAGGGGCGTCGCCGGGCGGCCTCGGGGACCTCGCTGGTCGCAGGGCGCTCGAGGTTGACCAGGCCTGCCAAGCACGCAGTGCGGGGCCTCTGGACCGCGGACGGCCCGCCTGCCTGCGTCGCAACCCTGAGGCCCTGCTCGATGTCTAACCCTGCCACCCACAGCACCACCACTGCAGCACTGCCCCGTGCCTGCCCCATCCTGACACCCCACTGAGCACGGAACCCAACCAACCCCGCTCCCGCCTCAACACCGTTCGGGGGCGACGACGGCGCGCCGCAGCTTCCAGCTGCAACGCCCCGATTCCACATCTTATTTTCAATCCCTGCTCAAACTCCTCATCCGATCCCAGGGCCGGCTGGACGGCGTACTGCAGGATCTCTTGGGCCCCGTGCGCTGGAGCGCCCCCTCGGCTTCCGAGATCCCCTGGCGGCCCGAGATCCTCGGCCTGCCGAAGCGCGGCCTCCTGCAGGCCGCGATCGCGCGCCTGCGGCGCGTGCCGCAGCTCGCCAGGTACGCGCGCGAGGCCGCCGCGGCGCTCGACGACGCAGAGGCGTTTGCCGAGCGCGAGCTGCGGCGCGCGGGGGCGGCGGGCGGCGGGGACGCAGGGGAGGAGGCGGGCGCGGGCGCGGGCGGCAGGGGGATGATCGGGTTTGACCTTGGGCCGGACCCGTTTGACGACTCGCCGGGCGCGGAAGACGAGATGGCCGTCGATGGCGGCGGCAGCGGGGGGCTGGGCAGCGGCGGCGGCGGCGGTGGCCACGAGCGGCAGGGGCTGCCTCCGGATGGTGATGATGTGGGGGGAGCGGGAGGGGCGGCGGGACCGACGGAGCATCTGGATGGGATGAATGGCGCGGTATTGGGGCCGGGGGCGGGAAGACTGCCCGTGCGGCGCATCACGGCAGCCCCTGCAGGCAGCGGCGGCGCAGACGGCACAGGCGGCGGCGGCGAGGCGCTTTCGCCGCAGCCGCGGTCGGGGCAGCTGGCGTAGGCTGTGCCGGGTCACCGTGTGCTGGTCTGTTCACATGGTGGGTTTTGATGGTCAATTTAACAAGGTCATATCGCATGGCCTACCTGCCTCCTGCACTCTTTCAAAGTAACTGTAACGCAAAGCAGTCAGCAGCTCGGTCAGCGAGATCGCTCTGATTGCGTGCGGCCAGGCCAAGCTGGCAAATATCTGGCAGGGCCCATCGCCAGCTTGGCCCTCGCAGTAGCAGGGCAGCTCAGGACGGTTTGAAAGTCGGAAGCGTCATGCGCTGACGCCGTGCACGCCGCACCCGGCATGCGTTCTCGTCAAGGGCGCGAACCCGGCTGTCGCACGCAGGCACGCAGGGTGCTAGGTTTGACCGATCAGTGCAGCAGCTGCTGCGCGCTCATGGCCGCCCTGGTGTGAGCCAGCCAATAGCATGCAATTTGGCACGCACCTCACTCAGGCTGGCAACCGATCGCAAACGAAGGCAGGGGCGCAAACCGCATAAAGGCAGCCAGCGCTGGGACACTGATGGATGTCGAAACTCTGCTGGCGGATAGGTACCTGCGTGCCGTCGCTTGTCTTGCAAGGAAAGCTGGGGCAGGCGGGGCATCATGACGTCATCACCTGTGGCCTGCGATTGTGCCCTCCCTCTTCCTGCCTTGCCTTCTTCCCCCTCATCCCCTGCTCCTTCCCTAGAACTTGGCTGAACACAAGCTTTGCTGCCCTACCAGGCCAACTTCGTGTGCTTCTGCCATTGCGCCCTGCTCGCATCGGCTCAGGGCGCAGTACGGCAGGTCAAGCGGGAACGGGCGGGGGAGCGCAAGATGCCGTGCAACTGACCTTGTGTCATGAGGGACAATCTCATATGGAAGGTAAGGGTGTGTTTTGCGTCTACGGTAAAGTGACCGGTCACTGTGATTGCTCACTGCGACAGATCCGTTCAATACCCTCAACAATTATCATCAGGTAATGCCAACCGAAGTTTTCACGATCCTAAAAAATCAAACGTCCTGCCATTGCTGTGTTCGCTTCGCACCCGCTCGGAGGCACCAGGATTCTAGACTCCGCTGCTCGCCCCAGCCAATCGAGCAGAGCACAAGCAATTCTCACTGACAATATGCATTCCTCACAACTATCAAGGTCGCGAGGGCTAACAGGGTGAGCGCGGCGAACACACGCCGCTCTGACGCTGCATCAGGCCGCCGGCGCCGCTGCTGCTATTTTCGCAGCTCGCTTGTGCTGGCCGCGCACGCCATTGCTGGCACGCCGCGCACCCAAGGCTCATGAATTTCAAAATACACCCCTGCTGCTGCGCAGGGGAGCCTTGCCAGCCGTGTCCGCGCGTGCAGCCCAGCGGCGCGTGCACGCTCCAGCCACCTCCTCTCCAGCGGGCAGCTGCGCAGCCGCGCCCCAGCGGCAGCCCCCGCAGCAGGCCCCCGCCCCGCGCCTCAGCAGCAGCATCTCTAGCGCCGCATCGCGTCCCGCGCGCCGGCGCCGCGCGCCCGCGCCGCCGCCCCGCGTGGC